GGGGGGGGGGGGGGGGGGGGGGATTGTTAAGTCCGCGACTTTAGAGCAGTTTGCCAGATTGTGCAATCAAATGTAGAAATCATACGATTTTCCATATCATTTACTTGATGTGAAATTTTGGCAACCGTTTTCAGTTTCATGCAAGCTAGTTTCTCTTTGATGAGTTAATTAGACCCCTTCGGAAAATAGGGGAAAGTGCTGAATTTTTAGGACTATTGGGCAACTAGGCGCCAGCGTTTGTTTTTGTTTGTTTTCGTTGCCTCTCGGTGTCATAACCTACAAAATGTGTTAATGTGGACAAATCAAGAAAAGAATCTAGATAAATGTGTAAAAAAAAGTTTCCGCCTTCGTTTTTTCCCCGTTTTTTTTCAGTGATTTAACTTGTGCACTTATGTTGATTTAATTTTACTGAATACTCCATAGAATACTGTGAATACTCTAATGCAAACGGTGATGGGAAACGTTATGGTAATCGTCTGATTTTCATTTCTTATTAAGACTCAAGTCAAGATTCACTGAAGACTATCATGATATCCGTTGTCAGTAAGCAGACTGATACCTCTAATGTAAAGTGGTCTGCAGTTCAGATAGCAAGGTTCCTAAGACTTCTCAAAAAGTATCAAATCTTGTGGAGGCTCACCGACAAAGATAGGAAAAGCAAACGCAACCGAGATGCTGCATTCCACTCCCTCATTGTAGAAGCACGCCAACATGTCGGTCCAAAAGATTTAGACATGCTCACAATGAAGAGCAAAATGAAAAACCTCAAAACTGTTTATACCAGGTAAGAATACTTATCTCCTGATTTATTTTGTGCGATCGAAGAATTAATCACTTAACAGGTTAATTCATGCAATCAGATAGAACTATTGATGAATGTTGTAACATTACTGTGTCAACATGCAATGAGCAAGCTCAAATCAACCAACAATGCTCCGAAGAAGCCAGTCATGACATTGGTGTTCCACACCTTTGTCCAAGCCCCACGCTGCTTCAGGATTTTTGCCTTGTCAGCTGTTGGCTGACAAGGCGGATAATGAATGGTGGTCGCATTTCGTACCCTCTGGACGTCACACGGTATCGGGTACATGGGCTGGCCAAAGCCGGGGGGGCCGACTCAACCTCGGATTGCATGGCAAAACCCGTACCCTCCTGACGTCACAACGCTTCAAGATGGCAGCCAAAATCGAAATGCGACCACCATTCTTTATGCGCCTTGGTTGGCTGATTGCTGTGGAAGGGAGACTTACTGGTAGTTTGCTGTCGTACTATTAGATACTGGGCTGTCCTCAGCTCCGGTGTTGTAAGGCTGGATTGATGGGCCAACCATCTCACAGACACAACTAAGGCATCGTCTTGAGAAATTACCCTCTCCCTTCCCTTCTCTTTCCTTCTTTTTTCCTTCTCCTCTTGATTGCTGTAAGAATGTCAATAAGGGACTGACTGGGCCTGCAAACCCCTTGTGGCTGAGAGATTCAGCATGGGACAAGCCTAAACCTAGACAGATGCTAGTAGGATCTATTCTACCCGGTCAGATTGTTCCAAACTGCTGGCTCAGGTACTCGGAGGTTGCTAGCGAAAGAGGGCTTTCTGTGCAACAAAAAGTGTTGCCCCTGTGGCTACTTTTATCACCACTTTTGTTTCAATTTTAATTTCAAGGATGCCTTTGACTCCAGAATTGAATTTTTTCGAATAGAGATTTATGGATTATTTTGTTTTGTTTTTACAGGGAACGAGGGAAAGTCCTGAACGCTGAAGCAGTAGGTGAAAAATATGTGCCTGGTTTGAGATGGTATTCAGTAGCTGATTCGTTTCTCAGATACTGCAACAAAGATGGAGACGTAAAATTAGAATCTGTTGTAAGTATCTTTTTACCGATTTTCCCTCTTTCTCATATTCAAATCTTAATCCTCCATTGAATTATTATTTGTTATTTTCTCCATGGATCCGAAAATGACTGAATTCTGATCACCAGTATAAACTTTCTATCAACAAAATGATCCATCTATTCAATGAAGAATAATTTGGAGGACTCGTCTCATAATATCATCTCCAATTGGTGCTTTGATAATTTTTTAAGGAACTGAATGGTTGCACATGAAATGGTAATTTTCCAATATTGAGCTTGCATTTCTATATTGTTGGTTTATTTGCAGTTTTTTCAGTTAGGTAGTCATTTGATCAGTAAAACAGTCTAAGTAAGTGAGGGCCGAGCTGACCGCGCGGTGAAGCGACCTGTAGGGGCCAAAGCACATGGCACCTGCACCCTAATATTAGTCGGAATTCCTAAATAAAATGTGATGACACTAATCACATTTTCCAGTGGAAATCTGATAAGCTAATGTTAGGTTGTATCAACGACTGTGGCTGACTCCCAGACTGTAGACTTTCATAGTGCAGCCATGCTTCCATGGAGTTGGACGAAGTTGTCTCAATCTCTCACTGATAGGTAAAGCTGGCAGTCCAGCATACAATGAGTGATAAACAAATTTTTCACAACCCAGTGGAACACTGCAGACTGATTACTTACTGGGTGACTTTGTCCCCCTTCCTCCCACACTCTTTTACCTCAAATAGCAGTCAGGCTTATGGAGTGACATAGTCATCCGCAGTCATGATGACTGATATTTAAGTTTCCTTAAATACCAGTCACCTCAGAGGATGAACCCAGGATCTCATAGTGCTGCAGCAAACTGCTTTAACCACTACACTACTGAAGCTGAGGTAAATAAAACTTGAATCATGCACCATTTGACATTGAAACTCTGGGAAATTAAATATCATGCGCAGTAGCATCCAACATAGTTGTTACATCACATAATTGGTTTATCAGATGACGACTGACCTTCGCAGGACTTAGAATATTCTTACGCCTGTGTTAGCCCCAAGTCAAATTACCTATCTTAGAGGAGAGGCCCTTACCCTGTAGTGGTATAGTTGAGCTTTGGCTTTAACTATCAGGACTGCAACCGTATTTATATTTCAGATGACCTGAACAGGTTTTTTTCTTGTGAGTCAGCGTAGTGTGGAGCTGGATGTTAAAATTGACTCGAAAGTACAATCCTCACATGACATCAAGCCTTTTTCTGTTTGCTAGTTACACTTATTTTTCAAAGCTCTGCAGGAGTCTGTCTACTATGCTGTATAAAATTGTTAAGAATAATTTTTTTCATCTGTTTTAGAATCTGCTAGAAATCATAGAAGATGAACCTCACATCGGCTCTACGTCTGACACTGAAAGTGACTGTGAAGTTGCAGCTTCAAATGACAGGCAACCCTTGTTAGACGAGAAATCTACTTCCTTAAGTTTTGACATTGACCAAAGTGGTAATGTAAATGTATCATCAGAAAAGCACAATGCAGTCCGTAAAGCTATATTGTCTTTCAATCATGACTGTCCCTCTTCGGAGGATCCTCCAAATCCAAAATCTGTCAAAAGAAAACATGATTCCAGTGCCTCAGAAGATTTCAGAACCCTAAGGAATAATTATAATTCTGAAGACAAATATTATGCATTTGGAATGTATGTTGCGGCTGAGTTGCGACAGCTAAATGATGATGCGCAGTTGAAACTTGCAAAGCATTACATCAACTCAATTTTATTTGATGCTTCCATGTCAGCTCTTATACCTCCTTGACCAAATGAGACTTCTTGTCTGTGAAAACAATGTTTGTTTTAAACTAGTTAGGACATCTGTAAGAGCCAATGTTCTTTGAGGGTACATGTCTTAACAAACAAGCTGTATCAATTTTGGCATAAAGCTCCAAATGAAAGCCAATTTCCGCTAAACAAATGTAAAATGGAAGAAATGCACTTTGGCAGGTTTAATATGAACTGTACTAAATGAATGTAGGTAACTATCGAATATAAGTCAATTGAAACTTGCTTATTTCTTCCTGTTTCTTGTTTAGCAGCTGCTTTTTCATGCACTGTAAGAATCATTACTGAAGGACATTTAATTTGTTTTAAAATGGAATGTCAATGACTCTAAACAAACCCCTGTGCCACGTGCAATGAAAACCTTATCAAGCTACAGCCTGAGGTATGTTAGTTAAGGGGGCGCTTTTTTATTTTGCCTAAAATTCTTAACTGAAAAAATCCAATTACTCTGTTTAACTCAAAATTTTCTCAGCCTCCCAATTTTATTGGATTTTGAATAACTAAGATAACTAGATTAAGAATAGCTTATAAAGAAAAATTTATAGGAATTGGTCTGTTCACCCAAACAACTCTTACATGATCTGAGTTCAGACCGGCGTGAGCCAGGTCAGTTTATATCTTTGATTATATAGTTCTGCACTACAATACGAAAGGATTTAGAGGAGTAACCAATCATCAACTCAAACAAAACATTTTTTTTGTGTCCTATTTCCTATTTGAGAAAAATGTCTGCTATTTTCTCAATTTCTATTGAAGTGAGAAAAATTCTAATTACATTAATAGAAAGCTTAAATGTTCTCAGCTTTTAAGTGGTTTTTTGGTTTGTGTTGCTCTCATAAACCATTTGCACAGGGATTGGATTTTATCTGGATGAGGTCATCATAAGTTCTAGATAATGTTGGGTATGTTTTTGTAAGATAGTGAACTTCATTTCTCTCGATAACTGTCTCAATGAGCAAAATAGCAACTAAAATGGCATAAAGATAATGTTTTTAACTTTTATAATAGCTATGTACCATTTTAACAACGCTTAAGGAAAAATGCCCTCTCTAAGTTGCCTGTCAGTTAAACAAAACTTAGGGAACCATTAGAAAGCTACTCAACTTTCAGAAACAGAATGTGTAATTGGATTTCCTTTTCACTTTCACAGGTTGCTTAAAAAAAAATCCCTTTGTTTTGACAATGTCCTTGCACGTAAAGACTCAGATGAGAGGGCAAACGAAGTAAGTAAAACTTTTGATCTCTTCAATCTCCTGTTATATCTGCCTTTTTAAGGTCAAAGTTTAATTACTCTACAGGAGAAAGCCCCTGAAACTCCTAACTCAGTCTGGAGTGTGTTTCATTTGACTTTATAGATGTTGCAGCCCCTGAAACAAAAATCCAGCCATAATCTGAAGGACTGAGAGTCCAGCCCTGTGTTAATTGATTTCATTCTTGGTACATTAAAGTACCTCTGGATTGGTGGCATCTGAAGTATAGGTAAGAGAGAAGATGAACATTAAATTATTAGTTTGGAGTACCAGGTACAATCAATCGAACCTTGTTTTCAATTAATTCTTTTTTACTTTCAGGATTTTAAGTATAACAGTAAGCAAGAAATGTTTCCCGAGTGTGACAAAACATTAAATTTTAGATGCTGAATTCGTTTCAAACTAAGGCAGATTCGAACTCTAAAATTTCATTATAGCTTCTTGTTTATTCCATTATGGCACTTTTAAGATTTCTCTCCAGGAATAGGGTTGAAGAAGTTAATCATGAATTGTTTTTCCACTTCTTAAATGACTTTGAAATGCCAAAGTGAAAGACATTCATCAAGTGCCAAGATCAAAACAAGACTAGTTTCATAGTTTTTCAGCTCTCGATAAATTAATTAAGTGTTCAATGTGTCCTTTAAAATTATATAGTTAAAATATAAGCCCAACCATTAAATTAATATTCATCCTGATAAAAATGTAATTCAATCTTTAATCATCAATTTCTCTCTTCAAGGACTAATTGCTGATTATGTCTCCATGTTCATATTGTAAAGGTGAAAAAGATTGTCTAACTTTTCAGCCAAGAATGTCGAATCATTTAGCATTTTTGCTGTGTAGTCAGTAGCGGTGATATCTAATCCCTCAGTGCAAAAGTTTGTTTGTGCAGTAGGTAACAAATTTTAAATTTATCTAAATTATTCTCCTGTATATAATCTTTATTTGTTTTCCTATTTGTTTTTGTCATTATATTTTTAGTCTCTATTGTTGAAAATTGGGTACCAACTGAAAATTTCTTGGGTTATTATTAAAGACTTGTTTTGATATACTCATTTTTCCTTAATGCTGATAATTTCGTCTTTCTTAGAGCCTTTTGAACTTGCTGTTCTTCCTCACCGGTTAATACTGTTGGAGTAATCGAAAAGTATCATCCCCCTCTCCCCTCAAGCAACATGATTTGCAATCCTCTGTCTTCTCGCAACCAATCATACACTTAATTCCTGTAAGTACCTACACTTAAACAGCATTTTGAACTTCAGTGGAGCTAGACCTCAGAATCTAATTTGATTAACATCGTCAAACAAAATCTCATTAAATCTCATTAATCTCATTAATTGAAAAAAAGAAAAAAAAATGGTCTGAGGGGAAATGTATGCTCCTGCACCCAATCAACAACTACGTTTTTTTCCCTTTTCATGAGCATGGTCATAGGTGGGTCAGGAGGCCTCGAAATATTCAACTGTAATTAACTGTTTAGGTATTTGACTGTATCTATAGAGCTGCTTTAAATCATGAGAGCTCCAAATTCAACTTTCTCAGTTCAGGGAAGGAACGGATTTGGTGTCATAGGTACCTATAGTATCCATCTTAGTCCCCCCCCCCTTCCATCATAATTCAATGTCGCTAAATTGACGTAGAGGCCTAGGAAAAAAATGTATTCTTGGGTAATAACTGACCCTCAGGAATTTGAATTTGACGGCCATAGGCGTACCTCCGTAGGTCATTTTGCTAGGGGCGGCCTCCCTCGAGAAATTTTTAAAATTTTAATTCTATTTGGACGCATTTTGCGGCTACCGTAATGGAGATTTTCCATCACTCATTTTCTGTTTAAATTAAACTTTTTCGAAAACCTATTATATAGTAAGATGACTTACTTTCTTAATTTTTGCATAAAAATTACGCTTTTTTACTTTTAGCAAAGAATACTTTCGAATTGAAATTTTGAAGTTTTGACTCTGTTTGGACTCACTATGAGGCTTCCATGATGAAAATTTTAGAAAAAAATACTATTTTCAATTCTTTGTACGCCCATGTTGACAACCCCCAAACATTTGCTGATGTGACCCGGGGGAGAGGGGGGGGGTGTACCTACCCAATTTAATTGCCGCACGTAATATAGGTACCCATTTTCGCGTTAATTTCAGAGACAAGTTAATTTTTCAAATTTAGAACCCCCTGTACAACGTCAGCAAATGTTTGGAAGGCTGTGGGACTGTTCGAATGCCTAATGATTGATCACTGTAGGAAACATTTTTCCGGATCCTTTATTTATGTATATCGACTCAGCGGCATCGAATTTTGTGGAGGGGGCTCTGTCTCCCACCTGCAGGAGTCAATATTTCGAACAAGAATGGGCCAAGCTCGGATTTCTTAATAGGTAAAGAGTCGGGGCAAAATTTTCCGTAGGTAGTTTCTGAATTTGATTGAATAATTTCTAAGTTTTGGCGNCAATTTAAAGTTACGACCCCTCTATCAGCTCAGAGGATCGTAACTAACAAGTCGACTTCGTAATGACAAGTTTTAGATACTTTTAAACCAACAGAAATAGACGGCGAAAAATCGAAATTCCGAATGTGCGATAATTTCATGCCCACCGTGCGGCGGGCAGCTGCTGGCTGTAATCGTGGTCCGATCTGCAAGTGCGAACAGCTAGCTGACTTCGTAGAATCCCACCCGTAAGTTCCGACTTGAATCTGCGTCCAAGGTAGATTAAATCTGCGTCTAGCCACTCGCTTTGTCCTCTCTTTCATTCGCGCGCCGCAGACTTGAGAGGACAGACGCTTAGACACCAACAGGTCCAAACCTGTCACGCGTCAATCAGCCAATGAGGCCAATGAGAGCAGAGAGACGCCACTGATGGGTCACGCGACTTGCACGCTGCGGAACGATTATGCAATAGCAATTTGCATTTTCGAGCCGGCCGTCCTCACGTTATGTTCGTAATGTCACTACTCCCGCGTGAGATCGGACCTGATCATTCATCCTAAGTCATTATTCTTTTCGATCAATCTGTGCTCATTATCGTGTCTCGCCAAAACCTCTCGGTGTAATTGAGAACAGCCGTGTGTAGTGCGTAAGTGCGTTACCTAGAATTTCGCCAGCAGCAAGTGCAAGAGTCCGAAACGTTTCCGGCACCTGTTGCTTGAGGGCCATTGAGGGGTTGACTTTACTTGCCCTGCTTTTGCTGAACGTACTTGATACTTTGAGATTTTCGTTGTTTCATTTGAAGTGTAAATCATCGGTTATCGGCTAATTATCGTGTCTCGTGCAAATTCCTCGGTGCATTCGAGAACAGTCGGAATTTCGCCAGCGGCATATGCAAGGGTCGGCCATCTTTGTGAACTTGCTGCCTCGTGCCTCGTGGGTCCTGAAGCCTGAAGCCTGAAGCCTTCCGTGTATCTGCGGCTTGATTGAATCGTTGGAGTGTTCTCATCGCTGCTGAGAGGATATCCGATGTCGGGTTGGAACTTCTCCTTATTGCTGCTGTATTTATTGGTCCTGGATTGAGGTTTGAATCAACCCTTATTTCTTAAGATTTTGCCCAGATAAGGTGTCATCATTCATTGCGAAATTGAAACTCAAATGTACCGATTGAGACTTTCATGGTTTGAAATTGAGGTCCTAAATGACTTGCTGATTCTCTGTAGATGTCAATCTTTTGACAATTCGAGTTAATGCAGGATATAATGTTTTGTCTATTTCCAAGAACTCCGCAGACCTTTCTCCTAATCTGAAATCAGCACACAGTTTATTGTTTGGCACTGTTTTCAGTTCGAAGAATCAAACTCCACCATTAAGTTTGATAGGTTCGCAGGCATCTGAAAACTATCTGAGTCGAAGTCTGGCAAGACCCAAGTTTTACAGATTGAATTTTTCAGGTTTTCTACACTTGATCATCTGATTCCAAATTCCACTCGAATGATCATTGCCTCATAGTCAAGGATTAGGTAACCGTCATGCATTACTCATTTTATGATTATCATGGTCCATGCGCGTTTTAATCAGTTTTTCAATGCCCATTTATCATATGTAAGTGTGTAATACTTGTGATGATTCAATATTGGTCCCTCTCCACCAACGTTCTGTGGTCCCCATTTTCATCTTGCCGAGCCTCACAGCCTCGGAAGAAATATTTCTTGAACCTTCTTTCCTCACTCACTAGAATAGGCATAAGCACTAAAGACCAGAGAGATATTGTGTACTACTTCAATAGCAAGTAAAGAAATCAAAAACTGTTAATGTGCAACCATCTTGTCTAGAAAGTTTATGATGGGAAATATTGATGTTGATGTGTAAGTGCCAGCTCGTTTTTATTAATAAGTGTTAGGGTGGGATTGCCCCACCAAGTATCAGACTGAGTATCACTTACCTCTCCCCCTTCTCCCTACATAATCTGTTGTATGTAAAGTAGATCCAGAGATGTGCATTTTCTTGTCTCATTGCATAAGTAATTTGCCAGCGGGCTGATTATTGAAATTGATAGACAAAGCTATAGTCAAAGGAGACAAATGAGATATGGAGAGATCCTCTTGGTGGAAGTGGGTGGTTGCAATGGTCAAAGGAGGTAGGTGATAGACTAACTAACAGCAACTTGCGAGAGACCCGACTGTTAGTCTATCATTTTCTCTCTTTGTCTACATGAGCCACCCATATCAACCAATAGGGTCGCTCTGCACTCCCTATGTCTTCTTTGTCTACAGCTTTGTCCATCAATTTCAGTAATCAGTCCGCAGGAAAGTGGAGACAGTTCGAGACATTTTTCAAGGATTATTGCTGGAGTGAATCCTCATATTTGCATCTGGCCACAGTTTGCGTTAGAGAAGCCTCAAAATAGAATTTAGAGAAGTCATTATTCCTAGATTTTCTGAAAGAGATCCCTCCCATCCCCTTCTTTAACGGATTTTTAAACAGCGTCCTTACCAATGGGGGGCCAGCCTACCCTCAGCTCTCTCCAGCTGAACCCATGTATCTCTTCAGGAAAGTTTCAAATGTATTCTGCCGTGCAAAGGAAGAATGCTGTATGAACCTTCAGGCGTTGCCAAATTTCCTTTGATAAAATACAAATTTCTCGGTAAATTTATGAATATCTCTCTTTCAGTTTTTAGATAATTTTGTTCCTAAGTTCACCCAAAGTTCCTGAAAACTTCAAGGAAGATATTCATAAATATCAGTAAAACATAACCATTTTTATTGAAGAAAATCTGGTAACTCTCATATGTTCATACGGCGTTCCTCCTTAGCAGCAGTGTTTGTCTGACTGTCAAGAAAAATATGTCAGATGAACCAAAGCATGGTCAGTCAGTTTTTTTTTTTTATGCTTATATGTAAGTCTCTGCAGAAGGGAGTGATATACAGTAATTAATTTGCAGCATTATTACCTCAGAGATAAGAATTTAATGTAATTTTTAATTCAACATCGAGACTCTTCCCGTGTTGTCACGGACGATCCTCTAATCCTCAAATTGCAATCGATCCGAACGATAGACAAAATTAACGAGGTTTAAAATGTACCTATGTTTATATTACTATATGTGTTTTTATTATATTATTTTTATTTTTACTATTTTTTAATCTTAAATCTACTCTGTCATGTACTAAGATTGTCAATTGGCAAATTGTTCTGAGAATATAACTCGCTGGTTCCTTTCTGTTTAACTCCGTCCATTTGTAAATGATTTTGCGGTCTGGGTACTTAACACAAAACTAAAATCAGCGCAAAAGGGTCATTTTTATGGGGATCTAGAGTCAGGCTTCAGGTATTGAACTGTTTGCCAATTTTGCGTGTGAAACAAGGAGTGGAATGGGGAAGGGGGTTCTAAAATCGCACTAAATAGCCTAACGTCATTCATGGATGGCCGTTCAGAATTTCTCATTATACAAACGCGTTGAATATTCTTTACTTTTACCAACCATTTTTTCTCTCATTACTCGAGGTGTGAATACTTGTAAAATTCAAAGCACCCAACAAAGTTAAGTCAGTGCACTACTATTTCTTTTCTTTTTTTCTTCGTTCCAGGTAGTGAAATCGTAAGTACACCAGGAAAAG